CTGTTTCCTCTATAGCTAGTTCTGGGAGTCTAGGTAGATGTAGGAGAAACTGCCACAAAGATTTCTGAGTCAGTCAAAGCTTTACTAGTGTAACTATCCGCTACGGGCTTATGAGAGATATGGGGGGAGGGGAGGGGGAGGCGAGAACGGAGATAAATAAAGAAGAGGAATTCGTCGAATGGTAAATGATTTAATTCAAATTTGTGATCTAGCAGAACACGTCAGAAAATTGAAATTATATGATTCCTTCAAAATATTCGCCCTTTCTACGGTTGAAAGAGTTCGATAAATTTAAAATTGTATCCACTGATAATTAAAGCTTACGGGGTGCGTGATAGACTTACCTCCACGTGGTGCACCCTGGGCAAAGTATACTCATACGGCTAAAAAGTCTATTAACTGGCGATTGACTTCTGGCGCAGTACTCATCCTACCTTTTCTCTACCTTCATGTCTGTCTCGTTACATCTGTAAATCACTCATCTGTTCCCCACCCCTCGACTTTCTGTTACTTTGATATTCCTTCCCCCTGTGAAGCCCGAAGTCAGCTAAAGGGATGATGATAACTATCAAAACGCCTGCCATTTAAAATACATAAATAAATAATTAATTCATTTCAAAAGATTCATGACTTATAGCCTCTAACAAATATGGCCGCATAGCTGAGGCGGATGAATATTCAGGAAGTGAAATTTCATGAACGCAGGCCTGGACAAGAGGGTAAGGACCTTGGTTTTTATTTGAGGGACAGATCATTATGGGAGGATTGAGATTTTTCAAGCCTCCGATGGGGAGATTCGAGTATCCAGTCGACCATCGCAAAAATTGGCCACGCTGAACAGCATTCAGACCAGCCAAGACTTTTACAAAGTTCTTGAAGGTTGGTGAGGACTTGCCCTGAGAGCAATTTGATTTAATGTATGCAGTTAATTCAGCTTCACTCCAAGGTGCAACAGTTGATTGCCCACAAATGATATCTCTGACCTCCGAAAGGCTAAAAATTGATAGCCAATCCATTGGAAATACCCGCTCAAAACCCCCTAAAAATGCCATTTTCTGACGTTTAGAAGTACACCAAAAGAAAATAATACAACTTCTTGGGCTTACATATGAATGCATCGATTTGGGCTCGAATGCCCTTATCCAGACAGTACTCCATCGTTCGACGAACATAATCCATATAGTTATCATTGTCTATGTCAGTATTACTGGCGGTTTCTATCATGGTCGGGTCAAATTTACCTTCTTCCCATGGATAAACATCCTGAAGACTCACATTTTTGTACACCAGCTTTGAAGAAAACACAAAAAGCCGATTACTAATCCATTCAATTGAAGGACAAGAGTATGCCATTACCATACTTACATTGGATGATGAATAAAATGCCATGCTTAAGCACAAGTCCGGAATTGTTGACCCAATTAACTGCAAACTGGCTTCATTAAGTTGGTCTTCGAGACTGGCTCCCCCTTCTGTCTTGGAGAAATTCTGCCTAATGACTTCGTGTGCCTTGTGAAGTTCCATAAATTTTCGAAATAGAGATGCATGATGAGGATACAGCTCAGCAAAGTCATTAAAATCTAATAATTCAGTCAGCCAATGGGAACTGATATTTCGCGATTGATTGCCAAAATGTAGGACTGAAATGTCGTCGGATAATAATGCTTTACTTCTCCATTGTTCAATGCAATTCAGTTTATCATAAATCGCACTTCCGTCTCCTGAAAGACACCTTGCTCTGGCAAATGAACTTAGAATCTTGATAAATGGCCGCGATAAATTCAAACTAATCAAGTGCTTTTCCTAGTGCGAAAGAAAAAAATTTGAGGTGGTTTAGTGCCATCTTACCTCCGTATAGTAGATGGAAAAAAGGAACGTATTATAAGATCCCAAAAGTACATTTACTAGCGTAAACGGAAGGGCAGGCTTAAAATTGGGATTGTGGATGTAGATCCTTGGTATTATCGACTCTTTTAATGTGGAGGTGAAGTGGAAAGCACAAATGGATCGATGATTATAATCTAACGAATGATAGACTTTTTTTGCCGAAAAGAGGGCTATAAAATGGGAATTGTGTCAATAATGAATACGAAATAACATGCCCGTTTGAAAGGTTTTTGAAGCAACAATGTTTTTGACCTCTCAATTCTACTGTCTAAAAAACTTTCCCCTAACTGTAATGAGCGTGAAGTCATTGGAATTGAAGGTACTTATTTGATACAGGTACACTTTTGAGCACACAATCGATTGGTGTATCACCATGAAACATTACGTGAATTTTCTTGGCATCCGACAAGTTAAAACATTCTTGCATGCGGAAGCTGTCAGATTGTGGCTATTAGTAGAAAGAATTGGCTTGACCAACAATTTATTTAAATCAGCCAATCAAGAGAGCGATGCGAACATTAATATCCCGGGGTGTGTGATAGACTTACCTCCACGTGGCGCATCCTGGGCAACGTACACTCATACGGCAAAAAAGTCTATTAACCGGCAGTTGACTTCTCACTTCAAACTACCATCACCCCACTCTATGTCATTGTCGACTTCTTCCACAGTGCTCACCTCACCTTTTTCTACCTTTGTGTCTGTCTCTTTTACATCTTTAAAACACTCTTCTGTTCACCCACCCCTCTCGACTTTTTTCGATTTGATGTTCCTCTTCCTCTGTGAAGCCTGAAGTCAACTAAAGAGCTAATGATAACTATCATAAAGCCTGCCATTTGAAATAAATACATTAATTTCCCTATGATTAACCAGGGCATCACCTCCCAACCAAACCCCTCTATTTAACCAATAGGAGTAACAATAAAAATCATTTAAAATCAAAGTGAGCATAGAAGAGAATTATAAAATGAACGAGTGCATGAATATGTCAGTGCTGCTTAAAATATTACCTGTAAAGCTTTCGCTACTGCAATACCCATGGAGTAAAATCGTTGGATAACAGTCAGTGGTACCGCACTTCTCGGATAAGGCGTGGGGAAGAGACCGAAGGAGGGATCTACAAATTCACCCGACACATTTTCCCGGTCATTCATCCACAGGTGATGATGTTTGCGAAGCAATTCCTTGCTCAGTAATGAGAAGAAATCTCTTGTCACACCACTCCCCCCTCCCACCTCATCTTGAAAAAAGTCGGAGGGGGAGGGGAGGGAGGGAGGGGGTAAAAAATGTCAGCATTAATCACATTACTTACGCATAAAAGTACTTTTTTTTCTGATAAATTACCTTTATAGAAATAAATGAAATCTTTATTCTCTGGGGCCTGTTCGTGGAGTACCTCATCTGCATACAACCAAAACCGTTTTCCCTCGTCATTCTCTATTGCATTGCGCGAGACTGCTGTACACAGTGACACAATTCTAACTCTCTGAGAAATATGAAAGTAAATTAGCATCGAAATTGGCAAAACTTTACATCAATGCGCTACTCTATTTGCCAATTACCTTTAATGATTCACTCTTAATCTCCGCCGTCTCTTCTTGGGAGATATGAAGATAAGAAAGCAGTTCGGTTACAGGTTTATCTAAACGCGGATCAAGTTCCCACTTGGGCACGAAAGAGTATCTATGCACTGAATTTTTCATAATAAAATTATTCGACCTTCAAAAGAGAAAGTTATAAAGTGCGGTCTCACATATATCATCGTAATCAATTACCTTGCTGGTCCAAATGCACCAATATTGAAAAGTCTCCTGCGAAGTTCAAATGGAAAGAGGTAGGGCATGTTATGAGGTAACTTAAAGCACCAATCGGGAAATGTTGGACCTGTAACCGATGCTAGTGCATCGTCCAGCTGACGCGTCAGTTTGCGAGAAAGCCCCTGGGAGATGAAACAGGAATGAAAGTCAGTGAACGAGTTCCACTTTTGGGAATTTGTATCTCTACTTTCATGCATGTGATAGAGAAGACGAATCAATTGAAGAATCTCCTCAGCAATCTCTTTTGTTGCATTGAGTTCGTTGAATTCAGCTGTTTCCTCATTCAGCCTATTTATTTGTTCCTTCGCTAAGTACCAGTCTCTTTCCGATAGCAGTGCGTTGGCCTCAGGATTCACTTGTTTTGGGTAAAACTATGAGTAATGGGAGTAGCAATTGGCATTGCTCAATTTCACATGTGTAACGCTTTCAAGAAATCATGAAACTGACACGTACCGAATGATCGTTGAACTGCTGTTCATCTGAGGAGGTTATTTCAATGGCAATTTGAATGCTCCGGTAATCAGCAAACTTCAAATCGGCAACTTTTTGAGCTAATTTCTGATGTAGAAAGAAAGGCCTTATTCAAGCACTTTTACTAGTAAATATTTTGGTAAATTCAGCTTACTAGTAAAGAGGTAAAGAGGGGGTTTTTCAGACGAGGCATTTCAATGGAGGCAATAATTCCATTGCTAGCGTGGACAGCATTAAGGTGGAAACGAAACTTCCACAAGGATGCAGAATCTGGGCAAAAAAAATGGTGAATTTCAGGAAGAAAAAAAGCAAGTTGTAAAAACTACTTTATTCGATTTTGTGTGTAAATAAGGCAGCTCTTTACCGTATAAGGGTTTTAGAAAGTCTTTTAGGTTTGTTGCTTCGGGTTCAATTTTATAACAATAGAACGCTTCTTCATCCTGGCCAATTTCCCACGTACTATCCGTAAAATTTGACATTGCCCATTCCAATCGATCATCTTTCCTAACCGCCAACGCTAGATTTAACAAGTGAACCTCAGTTAAAGTCGGAGATGCAGAAAGATGTGGGCGGAAAATTCTCTTCGAGTCCCAGTTTGGCAGAATGGTTGGACGAAAATTTTTGTCATGAAAATAGAGCACACTCCCGAAGAAATCAAGTCCACAAACATGCAATCGACCCTGAGAAGCGATGGGTGACAAATCCACAATACGGAGTAGTCGAAAACCGCGTAGGCACTTGTCTATTGATAGAAGGGCAAATTCGGAAATATCCAGCTCAAATTTAACCTCGTTTCTTGAATCTAGACTCTGGTCATTGCGATGGACCTTCAAAGTGAGCCATTTTTCGCCGTCATTTGAACCCTTTTGGAAATAACAACAGCAACAATTAGTCAGCAGTTTTAATCACTTAAAAGAGCAAAACAAAAATGTTGGTAATCACATGCCTGAAGGCACCAATTCGTTATATCTAAATTTGTGTCCATGTTACGGATTGTAGTCACGGTGTATGCAGTGGGCATGATGAAGAGATGCAGGTCAATTACAAATCTCGCGCCTAATACACGACCAGAGAGCACGTCTTCATTGATGTTATCGTAAGTTTTCTTTTCCTGGGGCATGTTTTTGCACAAAAAACACTGCTCGCTGGAATTGGGATCTATCGGCAAGGATAGGTAATCGCGCATCCAAAACATGGGACTATTCGGTAGTAAGGAGAGGCAACGAAGGAAGCCAGTATTGATAGCATTAATACAATCGGTCCTTTCCTTTCTTCCTCTCGCGCTGAGCCACTTAATGAAAGGCTCCCCTAAAACGTAGTCATTCGGCATATCACTCTCTTTGATTTTATTTTCCATACTTTCGATAAAGCTCTTGAGTTTTGCGATCTCATCGGTGCTGCAATTACATCACAAAGAAAAAATATTCAAAATATTGAATTTAAATAAAAAATCTGAATTATATACACATATATAGGTAAAAAGGACTCGCTTTGCATCAAACAGTTTGATTTTGTTGTTCCTAAGCACTGCCCGAAGTGAGGTGATATTTGTAGTATAAAAATATGCCTTATTTAGACTCCTAAGTATAGGATGATTTCCACTTCCAAATCGCCAACGAAACAAAGGTCTCGTCATTCGATTGTTGCTATCAATTTTCTGCTTTGCATGCGACTTCAGCCATGTTGCTAAAATGAGTAGAACATGGTAATCCACGCTTCCTTCTAATTCACCATTCCTAAAGTCGAGTATTCTTAAGTTATGAGTCGCCTCCGTGCAAGCTAACGATCTCACATTCTTGGAAGGTGATTGCAGATTATGTATGAAAAATAGTAAATTCAGAGGTAAATATTCAATCTGTTCAAAGGCAGATAGAAGAATTTTCACGAGTCTTGCAAAGATTCGCTTGTCATCCAGTGTGTCAAGAAAGAGTCGACGCCGTTTTAATAAGAAGTGAAGATTCCTTGACTCCTCATTGTTCTTGGCGACATAAATAAAAAAGAAATAGAAAATTTATCCATTAAGGCAGTACTGTTAAAGGTATAAGCATTCGACAAAAATATCCTATTAATCGACAGTTGACTTCTGACTTCAAACTACCATGACCCACTTCCACAGTACTCACCTCGCCTTTTTTCTACCTTCGTCTTTGAAATACTATTTTGTTCCCCCCCCCCTCCCTCCTCTCGACTTCTTTTCACTTTGATGTTCCTTCCCTCTGTGAAACCTGAACCCAACCAAAGGGCTAATGACGACCGTCAAAACTCCTTCCATTTGATATAATATTACCTTAGTTTTCCTTCTACTGAATTTTGTTTCCAATATTCTCCTGAAATGCAAATCGATCTTGTATGATCATTTCGCCATTCTTGGATCTGGTTGCCTTCTGCAAGTGGGGTCTTTAGCTATTAGCTCTTACTTTAAAAAAGATCCAATCAGCTACTAAGAATTTACTTGTCGCAAGGCTAAAGTCAGCTCACTGATTCTTCCTTTAATAAATATTACCATCCCATCTCTATTTCATTCCCTCTACTTAGTGCCGGAGGAAAAAAATTGTCCAAAAGTTTCAAGAAGTTTTTACTATTATGTTAAAGGTGACAGATGACATTTTAAAGCATTCATAAATGCCTATCCATAAAGAAATCACAAAGCAAAGAATACCAGAGTGGAGTAGTTGTAAGTCCGCGTTATTTAAAACTATTAACAGATAATATTTTTCAAAAGTTAAATGAATTGTTAGTTTTTTGTTGAATGCATGATAGTTAGACCAGTAGATTGTATAGACAGAAGATTTGTAATAAACAGGAAGGGAGAAAGCATGACTCGCGTGTCTGCTTCCCAGCTCACACTTAAAACACCAATAAACAGACCTGGGGTGTGCGATAGACTTACCTCCACGTGTTGCACCCTAGGCAACGTATGCGCATATGGCAAAAAAGTCTATTAACTGGCAGTTGACTTCAGACTCCAAATTACCATCACCCCACTGTATGTCAAATTCGAATACTTCAACCGTACTCACCTCACCTTTTTTCAACCTTTGTGTCTGTCCCTTTTGCATCTTTGAAACGCTCTTCTGTCCCCCCCCCCCCAATCTCGACCTTTTTAACTTTGATGTCCCTTCCCATCTGTGAAGCCTGAAGTCAACTAAAGGGCTAATGATAACTATCAAAACGCCTGCCATTTGATATAAATAAATAGACCTAGGTTGTGTTAAATGTTGTAGACGGCTGCATAATAATCGAAAATAAAGTGGTAGATTACCACACGCTCACAGGCATCCAACATTTACTTCATAACATAACTGCTTTTCCTTAGATGGGCATTTTTAAAAGTAGCTTTTAACACTATCACAGCTTAATATTGAGGTAACCCACAATGGTACAGGATACTTGCAGTTTTCAATTGTGGCGGGGAAATAAATTCGAATTTAGCTTAAATTTATTCATTTATATCAAATGACAGGCGTTCTGATAGCCCTATTGTTGACTTCAGCTTCACAGAGGGGAAGGAATATCAAAGTAAAAAAAGTCGAGAGGGGGAGGGGGAACAGAAGAGTGTTTCAAAGACGAAGGTAGAGAAGGTAGAGAAAAAGGTGAGGTGAGTACTGTGAAGTACTCGAGTATGGCATAAAATGGAGCGATGCTAGTTTGAAGTCAGAAGTCAAATGTCGATTAGTAGACTTTTTGCCGTATGAGTATACGTTGCCCAGGGTGCACCACGTGGAGGTAAGTCTATCGCACACCCCCTATAGCTTAAATTAATTGGAAAGGTAGCAGCACCGCAACCTAAATAGACTATTCAAAAATTTTGGCATTTCTCTAGTCATTCCCTAGTTCGCAGCAAATACTGGTCTACGATGTTCTTG